TCACAGTTACTAGGAGTCAGGAATTCAGGAGTGGCTTACACGGAAGGTTCTGGAACAGGTTCTCTCACGAAGTTGTAGTCTATCTGTTGTGTGGGTTGTGGTCTCTGAAGATTTGATTGAGACTTGAAGAGTCTATTCATTCAAGATCACTCACGTGGCTATTGGCAGGGGGCTTTAATTCCCTAACACATGGGCTTCTCAGCATGTCTGCTCCAGACACGGCTTCCTTCAGTCTGTCCAAGAGAGACAGTGACAGCACAAAGGACAGGAGTGGCAGTGTTTTTACAACCGAATCTTAAGGAACATGCCACTACTTCTGGTGGTTTCTTGTTTGTTGGAAGTAAGTCACTAAGTCTGGCTTACACTCAAAGGGGAGAGAATTAAGCTCAACATCTTAAAGGAAGGAATATTAAAAAAAAAAAAATTGTAGCTACATGTAAAAACCACCATGATGTGCTACAAGCCACACTCAGGCCTGCCCATAACCCACCCTGCTCATATAGTTCCCCACCTGTCTGCCAAATGGAAAGGATTCTTGGGTCATAGCAGAAGAAAGAGGCACAAAATAGGAGGAACCTGGATCCCTGAGTGGTGGCATAAAGCTCCCTATTCTGCTGCCACGTGGACTTTATAAAAGGAGAAATAAACTCTTTTTATGTGAAACCATTGAGATTCTAAGTTCAGCTATTACAACACCTAGCTGGCACATAAGGTAAAAGGTTCGTTTTCTTTTTTGAGTGCTTATGCCTCTGAGTGTATGTTCTATCAGGAAACCAACTTCTTTTGAGATAATAGAACTCTCTTAAAGAAATGATGCCTTCTATTGTGCAGAATTTGAGAGCCTTGACCTCAAAGAGAAGAAATTCTATTCCATAAGGCTTGGGGGAAGAGGAGAAGAGAATCAGTACACAGAAAGCCAGAGGACAGTGTGGTAGCAGGGCAGGTAGAGAAAATTAAGGAGACAGGCACCTTAGGGGATTTGTAATGAGCACAGCAAAACCCTGATGAGAATGTGAGCGATGGAGCCCAGCATTGCTGCACAGTGAGTCCTGTCCTCCTAAAACACAAGGCTTTCTCTTTCCCCCTCTCTCTCTTTCTCTCCAACAAGCACATGTGCCCTCTGACAAACTTAAAAAAAAGTTGATGCTTATGTGCGCATGCCCCAAATACTGCCGGGATGGGAAAATGGAAGAAAGAGGATTGTGGCGTGACCGTGTCTCATTGGAAGGGTGCTTTCTCTCTCTTTCTGTCCCTCCTCTCATCTCTGGCAAGTCCACACACCTTCTGGCAATAAAATAAAATAAAACAAACAAGCCTTTTTTTTTTTTCAAGATAACTGTTTCCTTTTTTAAAATTATTTATTTAACTTTATGTATTGATTTATTTTATTTTTAATTTGACCAGAGACACACACAGACAGAGAGAGAGAGAAGGTGAGAAAGCAAGCCACCAGGTCCAGGTCTTGAACCACGATCAGCCATGTGGGAGCATCCACCACCTTAACCACCACGCCACCCGCTGGTCCCAAACAAGTCTTTTTTCTCACAGTTACTAGGAGTCAGGAATTCAGGAGTGGCTTACACGGAAGGTTCTGGAACAGGTTCTCTCACGAAGTTGTAGTCTATCTGTTGTGTGGGTTGTGGTCTCTGAAGATTTGATTGAGACTTGAAGAGTCTATTCATTCAAGATCACTCACGTGGCTATTGGCAGGGGGCTTTAATTCCCTAACACATGGGCTTCTCAGCATGTCTGCTCCAGACACGGCTTCCTTCAGTCTGTCCAAGAGAGACAGTGACAGCACAAAGGACAGGAGTGGCAGTGTTTTTACAACCGAATCTTAAGGAACATGCCACTACTTCTGGTGGTTTCTTGTTTGTTGGAAGTAAGTCACTAAGTCTGGCTTACACTCAAAGGGGAGAGAATTAAGCTCAACATCTTAAAGGAAGGAATATTAAAAAAAAAAAAATTGTAGCTACATGTAAAAACCACCATGATGTGCTACAAGCCACACTCAGGCCTGCCCATAACCCACCCTGCTCATATAGTTCCCCACCTGTCTGCCAAATGGAAAGGATTCTTGGGTCATAGCAGAAGAAAGAGGCACAAAATAGGAGGAACCTGGATCCCTGAGTGGTGGCATAAAGCTCCCTATTCTGCTGCCACGTGGACTTTATAAAAGGAGAAATAAACTCTTTTTATGTGAAACCATTGAGATTCTAAGTTCAGCTATTACAACACCTAGCTGGCACATAAGGTAAAAGGTTCGTTTTCTTTTTTGAGTGCTTATGCCTCTGAGTGTATGTTCTATCAGGAAACCAACTTCTTTTGAGATAATAGAACTCTCTTAAAGAAATGATGCCTTCTATTGTGCAGAATTTGAGAGCCTTGACCTCAAAGAGAAGGAATTCTATTCCATAAGGCTTGGGGGAAGAGGAGAAGAGAATCAGTACACAGAAAGCCAGAGGACAGTGTGGTAGCAGGGCAGGTAGAGAAAATTAAGGAGACAGGCACCTTAGGGGATTTGTAATGAGCACAGCAAAACCCTGATGAGAATGTGAGCGATGGAGCCCAGCATTGCTGCACAGTGAGTCCTGTCCTCCTAAAACACAGGAGAAAATAAGAGAATGAAAGACTAAACAGAGCAAAGGAGAGTGATTTAGCAACGTGCTCATTTGGGGGATATGTACTACTGTGATAAAGCTATCAGTATATCAAGGCATAAGTGTATGAAGATGTTCACCATGGCCAGGTTTATAACAGCAGTGGGGGGAAAAGGAATAACTTAAATGCCCATCATGTAATTAATCTTATGTATCAACTTGACTGGGCCATGGGGTTCCCAGATTAAACATTATTTCTGGGTGTGTCTGTGAGGATGTTTCTGATGAAATTAGTATTTGAATTGGTGGATTTGGCAAAATAGATGGCTCTACCCAATGTGGGTGGGATGGCTCTCCACCTTTTGTTCTATTCAGGCCCTCATAGGTCCACTGAATAGATCTTAGATCCAATGAGGACCTGAATAGAAAAAAAAGTGGAGGAAAGAGGGATTTGGACCCCTTTTTTTCTGCCTCACTGATCGAGCTGGGACATCCCATTTCACCTTCTCACTTCCTTGGACTGGGGTTTATACCATTGGTTCCCCTGGTTCCCAGGCCTTTGGACACCGACTGAATTTCACCACCAGCATTCCTGGGTCTCCAGCTTGCAGACAGCTGCTCATAGGTCTTCTCAGTCTCTATAAGCATGTGAGCCAATTTCTCATAATAATCTCTTTTTCATATGTGTATATACACACACACGTATGTATACATATGTGTGCATTTATATATGTGTATATATAGATAAAGATCTACATCTCTTATCAGTTCTCTTTCTCTGGCGACCCCTGACTAATACACCAATTACTATGGGAAGGGTGGAATAAGGGATAGTTCATGTGTGCCGTGGTGTGTTGTGAGGGTTAATTCCAGGGGGGCTGGAATCAGTATGAGCTGATTTACTGGAATAAGATCTGTCCCTGTGCAGCACCAACTCCTGGTCAAGGCAGTCAACAAACTGATTAACAGTGTTGTTTCGTAACCACAGGTCTGAGGATTTTCAGGGTGATTTGCACCATCTTGTCCACCGTGTTTATTTTTGTTTTCACTTCGTCCAGATTGTTTATTGATAATAACAAGATTGATGATTTGTCCCTGGTGTGGGTGAGACCCTTGGAAGACTCTGCTGTTGAAAAAGAAATATGCCTCCAGGGAGAACAGAGTTTTAGAAGCCTTGGCGGCAACTCCATTTTGACCTTCCTATTCCGAGGGGTTCTGTGATGTGCCTGTGTTCCTGGAGAGACGATGTGGCTGGGATGCTCCTTCCAGTGGGGGAACTGTTGGAGCTTGCATCTGGACTATCTCAGCCCATTGCTGCCTTACTTTAATGCTGTTGCTGCCTTGTATGAATTATTTTCTTTTAATGAATGGGAGATTTGTAAGCATTGTTGGTTTGGATCCTGTGACTTTTCTTTAGCCACCAGTCAAATCCCACTGACAACCACTGGTGGCTTACATAGGATGGTCAGCAACCATGGTTTTTAAGAAAGCTTTAGATCTGCGTGCAAAACCTAGAAAGAGGTCCATATGAGCAAATGGCAGGCTAATATGTAAAGCATAATTTCATTTTTATTTCTTTTAAATGGGTGATGCTGTAAGTATGTGGGGAGGGGTATTTTAAAAATTTCATGGGAAAAGTGTATTATGAAGAAACTATGCATGATTTCAAAAAATTTTGCGCCAAAATAAACTTGTACTTTAATTCCCTTTTCCATGAACTTTTTGGAGTCTTCTTTTTGGGGAGTGTATGAAGTAAGGGGATGAAATAGGATACAATGTTTACTGCTACGGTTTAAATATTTTTGTTCCCTCTAAAATTCATGTTGAAACTTAACCCTCAATGTGATAATATTAAGAGGCGTGTGGGACCAGCAGATGCCATAATATGTCATTGGACTCCCATGTAGTTGATCGCAGTTTGAGTCCCGGACCTAGCAGCTATAAACTCACAGCCAGGGGGATCAGCAGATGGTGTAATGGTTACGTTACTGGACCCCCACATAGGCCACCATGGTTCAAGTCCCAGACCCAGTGGCTTAAACTCACACTGAGCGTGTGTACATGTGTGCCCAAGATCCTGAGAGGAGAATGCAGGAGAAGGAATTGCAGCGTGGCTATCTCCCCGAGGGGGTGATTTCTTACTTTCTGTCTCTCTGTCTCTGTCTTTCCAGTGAACACACACACCTTATAATAAAAACCTCTTTTGAAAAATAAATTAAAAAACAAAATAAAACAAAACAAAAACCCTCATGTCTGGCACATGTGCGTGTGTGTCCAAAATCCTGAAAGGAGGCAGAAGAAGCGGATGCAGGTGGCACAGAGTTCCGGTGGCCCGCTCTGCTCCTGACTCACCGCTGTTCGCTTTCGCGAACAAGTCAGTCAGGAAGCCACACCACCGCCATGGCTTTTAAAGATACTGGAAAAACACCTGTGGAGCCGGAGGTGGCTATTCACCAAATTAGAATGACTTTAGCCAGCCTCAACGTAGAGTCCCTGGAGAAAGTATGTGCTAACTTAATCAGAGGTGCAAAGGAAAAGAACCTCAAGGTGATTCGGATGCCTACCAAGGCTTTGAGAATCACTACAAGAAAAACACCTTGTGAAGGTTCTAAGACTTGGGATCGTTTCCAGATGAGAATCCACAAGCGACTCATTGATTTGCACAGTCCTTCTGAGATTGTTGAACAGATTACTTCCATCAGTATCGAACCAGGAGTTGAGGTTGAAGTCACCATTGCAGATGCCTAAGTCAACTATTTTAATACATTGATTATCATCTGTTAAAAAAAAAAAAAATCCTGAAAGGAGAATGGAGTTCTCCATTGTGGTGTGGCCATCCCTCCTGGGGGGTGATTTTCTCATGATTTGTTTCTCTAGCAAGTGCATGTGCCCTATAGGAAAAAAAAAAAGGTGGTGTGACCTTGAGACCAGCAGATGGCATAATGGTTACATTGCTAGACTCCCACATAGTCAACCACAGTATGAGTCCCAGACCCAGTGGCTTGAAACTCATGCCAGGTTCATGTGTGTGTGTATGTCCAAAATCACAAGACGAGAATAGGGGAGAAAGGATTGTAGTAAGGCCATCCTCCTTGGGGTGTGATTTCTTGCTTTCTGTCTCTCTGTTTCTCTGTCTCTCTGAAAGGGGGGGAGGCTTGATGGAGGAAGTTGCCCTCCTCCTCTTTATTGTCCAACTCTCCATCCCTCCTGCCTATGAAGACACAGCATTCCTCTCCTCCAGAGGACACAGCAACAAGAACTACAGTAAAAGTGGAGACCAGGCCTTCACCAAACACTGAACCTGCCAGCACCTTGATCTTGAATTCCCAGCCTCTGGAACTGAGAGAAAGAAATCTCTGATTTTGGTAAATTATCTAATCTGTGGTATTTCATTATAGCAGCACAAACGAACCAAGATAGAAATTGGTAACAGAGAAGAAGGGAGTTGGTATAACAGATACCCCAAAATGTGGAAGTGGCTTGAGAATTGGGTAATGGGTAAAGGCTGGAACAGTTTTTAGATGCACACTGGAAATGCCTGTATTGCCAAGAACAGTGCATTAAGGGCGATTCTTGCAAGGGCTCAGAGAAGACAAAACCGTAAAAAGAGCCTTAGTCTTTGGGATCACCTAAGTGGTCATAACGAAACGCAGGTAGAAATATGGACAGTAAAGGCCATTCTGATGGTATGTTAGACAAACATGAGGAATACCTTATTGGAAATTGGAGGAAAGACCATCCTTGTTATAAAGTGGCAAAGGTCTTAGCTGATTTGTGTCCATTTCCTACTATTTTGTGAAAAGCAGAATTTAATCTTTTTTTTTTTTGAGAGGTTTTAGCTATAGGGCGTGTGTGCTCCCCAGAAAGACAGAGAGAGACAGAGAGAGAGAAAGCAAGAAATCACTCCCCAGAGGGGGATGACCATGCCACAATCCCTTCTCCATTCTCCTCTTGGGATCTTGGGTACACATGCATACGCACCTGGTGTGAGTTTAAGCCACCAAGTCTGGGACTTGAACTGTGGTCGACTACATGAGAGTCCAACGACATAGTCATTACACCAACTGCTGGTCCCATGAAAAGCAGAATTTAAGAGTGATAAATTAGGATATTTAGCTTAAGAAGTGTCTAAGCAATATGTGTAGGTTTCTCTTAATTGCTTATAGAATGCAAGAAAAGAGAAATGATTAAAGACAGAATTTATAACCAAAAGGAAAACAGAATGTATTTGGAAAATTCTCATCCTAGTCATGTAAAGAATTTCTAAAAGTGTATTTAAGAGAAAAAGCCAAGAATATGGACAAGTGACCCTTTGATAAGGAGATTAGCATGGAAAGAAAGACGTTAGCCAGTACTCATCAAGAAACTGGGAGAGGACCTGAAGGCCTTTGAGAGATCTTTAGGCTGCTACACTATCAAAACCAGAGTGCCAGGGTCTTGAGGGCAGAATAGTTTCAAAGGAGGAGGGTCCTAGGTCAATTAAGAGCCTTCTTTAGTTCCTGCTCACTGCATTATGGCACAGCCTCCTTGGCAGTCCTAGCTGTGGCTCAGATAGGCCCCAGAGGCCACAAAAGATGAGCCTTGGCAATGTCCACTTGGTTCTTGCTAATTTGACAGGCGCCCTGAGTGAAAAAAACATGGCAGCGGGAACCAGCAGTTGGCGTAATGGCTATGTCACTGGAATCCCACGTAGTCGACCGCGGTTCGCATTCCGGACCCGGTGGCTTAAAACTCACGCCGGGCGCATGTGTGTGCGTGCCCAAGATCTCAAGAGGAGAATGGAGGAGAAGGGATTGCGGCGTGACCATCCCCCCTGAGGGGTGATTTCTCGCTTTCTGTCTCTATGTCTCTCTGTCTGTCTGGTGAGCGCACGTGCCCTATAGCGAAAACCTCTCCAAAAAAAAAAAAAAAAATGGCAGCATGACCACCTTCACCTCCATAGATGTCAAAGAATACTTTAGAGAGCTTCAGGGCCCAAGGAAGAGAGCTACCACAGAGTTCTCTGTGAAACCTCACCACAGAGAGTCTTCACTAGGAAGGTGTCCAGAGGAATCATGGGGGAAGGGCCACTCCAGACAACCCCAAATGGTAGAGCCACCAGAACGCAATTCACATCGGGAAAGAGCATCGAGGAGGCAATCCTAACCCTGGAAAGGTGTCTACTTCTTATTTTCTGTGATAGAAAACAAACAAACAAAACACAGGCCTTTACAAGAAATGAATAGCCTTTATTTTTTAAAGCAGTTTGTCCAGAGCTCCTCTACATTCCCTTTTCTCCATCCCTACTCTGCACCTCTCCCTGACAATTTCCCTATTAATACTTTCATCAATATAGCACATGTATTACATTTGATGAACCAAAATGATACTACACATTATTATCTACAAAAATCTATAGTTTACATTAGGGCTCACTCTGTGTAGTTTTATGGGTTTTGACAAATGCGTAATATCATGTAGCCACCATATGGTATCATACAGAATAGTTGGTTTTATCATCCTACTAATCCCCTCTGCTCCATCTAGTTAAGGTAGGAGAAAGGGACCTGAGAATGTAGTTAGGGTATATCTGCTCTCTGTGTCCACGACTCTCATTCTTCCTGAGTGTGGGACGAGAACCCGTGTCTCACTGCGAGTGTGGACCCGATCACCTTTGTGCCCCTGTGTTCCTGCGTCATAGTCATCCCTCTCACTCTCCTCCCCGACCCCCTGGGAACCACTAATCTTTTTATTATCCATTCTTGTGCCCTTTCCAGAATGTCATATAGTTATAATCACGCAGTGTACGTAGACTTGTCAGACCGGCTTCTTTAACTTTTTAAGTGAAAGCACATTTAAAATTCCTCCACATATTTTCCTACGTTGATAACTCATTTTTTTTTATTGCTAAATAATATACCATATTATTGGGACCAGTAGTTAGTGTAATGGCTATGTCGCTAGACTCTCATGTAGCTGACCACAGTTCGAGACCCAGACCCAGTGGCTTAAACTCACACCGGACACGTGAGTGTGCATGCCCAAGATCCCAAGAGGAGAATGGAGGAGAAGGGATTGCAGTATGGCCATCCCCCGTGGGGGGTGATTTCTCACTTTCTGTCTCTCTGTCTCTCTCTGTCTTTCTGGTGAGCACATGTGCCCTATAGCAAAAACCTCTCCAAGAAAAAAAAAAAAGTGTTTGGCTTTGACAAGAAATTGCCAAACTGTTTTGTAAAGTGGTCTTGCAGGTTGTGTCGTGGTTAAGGATGCTGGACTCCCACATGGCTGATCGCAGTTCAAGTCTTGAACCTGGTGGCTTGCTTTCTCTTTCTCTCTCTCACTCTGTCCCTCTCTGGTCAAATTAAATAAATAAGTAAAGTTAAATAAAATAATAATAAATAATTTTTTTTTAAAAGTGGCAGTGCCATTTTGCATTCCTTCCAGCAATGAGTGAGAGTTCCGTTGCCTCATATCCTTGCTAGGATTTGGTGTTACCTGTTTCGGATTTCAGTCACTCATTAGATATGTATCTAGTAGTAGCTCATTGTTTTATTAATGATTTGCAATTCTCTCACTGTACATCTTTACAGTGTAAAAATATATACAATTCTCTTATGACATGACGCTGAACATGTTCTCATGCTTTTGTTGCCATTAGTATATCTTTAATGAGGTGTCAATTCAGATCTTTAGTCCACTTTTTAACCGGATTGTTTGTTTTCTATTGCTGAGTTTTAAGAGTTCTTTGTGTATTTTGCATACAAATCCTTTCTCAGATATGTGTTTTACAAATATTTTTTCCCAATCTATAGCTTTTCTTTCCATTCTCTTATTTATAAGGTTTTTTCCCCCCTTATGTGTTTTTCAAGTAAATATTTACATAAAGAAGATTAAAGTAAACAGGTGTGGCTTGGCTTATTTTAGCCACCTCTCCCTGGCTAGGCCACTAGTATAAAAAGTGAGGCAGAATTGGCTGCAAAATAAAATCCACATCTATCTGTCCTATTTGTAAACAGTTTCCCTATTTATGTAGCACATTTAGTAAATCCCATTAATTACCAGTTTCTGTTGAAACAAAAGTTTTTTGTTCTTTTGGGTTTTTTTGGTCCACATCCTGATTGAAGAGCTGAGTCTGATACATGAGGAGGATAGAAACTATGGACTCCCATGGGCCCCTGTGGGTCATCTGCTCATGGGTGGGGTGCCCAGTCCGGGATGGAGTAGATCACTTTTAAGAGCTGCCTGCCCTTCCACCTACAGAAGGGCCCTTCAAAACCCCTCCCTATGGGGACCAGCAGATGGCGTAGCGTGTACATTGCTGGACTCCCACATAGCAGACTGCGGTTTGAGTCCCAGACCCAGGTGCCCAAGATCTCAAGAGGAGAATGGAGGAGAAGGGATTGCGGCGTGATCATCCCTCTGAGGGGTGATTTCTCACTTTTCCTCTCACTGTGTCTGTCTCTGTCTCTGTCTCTCTGGCGAGCCCACCTACCTTAAGGCAAAACACTCTTTAAAAAAAAAAAAAAAAAAAAAACAACCTCCCTAAGAAGCTGAGGGATTCACTTGTGCTCATTTCATGAGACCCGTGAGTGGTGACCTTGGACTCACCTCACTCTCAGATCCTTTCTAATGAGGGAAAGGCTGTCTCTGGAGTAGAGTAGAAGCTGCTTTAGAAATGCAAAGGTTTCAGCTACTTGAAGGGAAGGCATTTGAGGGAAGTCTCTTCTGGTTTCCCCTGTGCCTTCAAAGAGGAACAGAGCTTTTTTAGA